GCTGCTGCTGCTGCCAGCACCAGGGCTTGTGCGCTGCGGGGGGCGGGCAGGCATGTGGCAGCCCCCCACAAGCCCTATACCCATATCCCCACATTCCTCCTCACCCCCCTCCTGCAAACCGCACTCTCTCCCCCCACATCTCACACCCTGCATGCCCAGCTGCCAGTCAGGATGGGACCTGCTGGCAGGAGCTGTGGTTGCAGGGGCAGCTGTCCCCACACCCTGGTTAACAGTCAGGGGGATGTCTGATTTTTCTGTGATTTAAAAAAACCAAAGGCAAGCACTAAAGCATAAAGAAATTTAGAATTAATTTTATGGTGATGATCAAGGTGCACCGATACATCGGTCCAATATCGGATACGCACAGATACAATCCATTGTCTTTATATTGGAAATTGGCCTGATGTGGCTGATAATTGGCCCAATAACTGCCCGTGCTTGAATGTAGCCACAGCACAGCATGTAGGTGGTGAGGAGCACAGCCTGGCAGCTTGGAGAGCTGTGTGCAGCTGCTAAGTCTGTTGTGGTGGACTGTGGGGGGGGCAGATCAATTCCTCTGTGGTGAGGGAGTGGGGCAGGTGCTGCCCAACCGGGACTGGGTGTGGGATGGAGCCACAGTTCGTCCAGGGGGCATCGGGCCACGTTGGGGGCTGTGCTTCCAGTGTGTGGGGACCGTGCTTGGGGCAGGTGGCAGCAGTGCTGGGAAGGGGCTACAGGGGTGCTACAGCAAAATAGGGTGGCCGCAGGCTTTCTGTGCTGGGAAGATCCTGGCGCAACCTGCAGTTGCAACCTGCCCCCCGCACAGATCCAGGGGACCCCTCCTACCCCCACCTCCGGCTGTGCCCTCCGGGGTGCCTGCAGCAATGGAGCCATCCCTTCTCTGTCCCATACCCCGGCCTGCCCCGGGTGGATAGCACCTGCCCTGGCTCCAGCCCCACTTCTCCCTCACCTCGGGGGGGCCTTGATCTGCCCCCCCACCCCTTCCCTCCTCCCCATCCACTACAACAGACTTACCAACTGCCTGCAGCTGTATTGGAAATCAGATCAGTATCGGCCGATACACCTCCTTAAAAATTGGCTTTTGGTATCAGCCCTCAAAATCTCTGTCGGCGTACCCCTGCTAGAGGCACTGGTAGGCTTGCAAATTGTTTAAAAATTGTAAATATATCAATAAAACTTTGCCCAACTGATCTCTCTCTCTCTCTCTCTCTCTCTCTCTCTCTCTAGTGCCGTTTCATTTTAATTATGGAAGAACATGGATTTCTGGCACCGGGCACCCAGCTGGAGGGCAAATGAGGTGGCTGACCTGGCCATTTGGGGCCAGGAGGACACGCTTTGATGGTTCACAGTGGGCCACCACAATGAGCACATCTTTCAGGCGCTAGCTGCCCAGATGGCAGGGCAGGGGCGCACATGGCCTTTGTGATGCACAAAGACCAGCTGTGCAGCTACAGCCCAATGGCAGCTGGCCCAGAGGTGCAGACGGCTCTGCTGCAGTGCCCGTACCACATCCCAGGCAGCCGTGCGATTTCCCCATCCGGCTCTGGCAGGCATTCAGATGTGGGGCTGCAGGTCTAAGGGGATGGATGCTGTTGCATGTGGCAGCAGGTCACAGCCAGGTAGCAGCTCCCACTGCCAGACTGCTGCAGTGGGTAGAGAGGGCAAGGGCTGTGTCTCTCCATATATCAGCTGGCTGGGCCTCAGAAGCTCCTGAGAGCAAGTAGCCTTGAGCTATTTGCCAGGGCAGCTTTTTATATTGCTGGGGCCAGCCCTTTCAGCTCCCCATGACTGCAGATCCAGGAGTGTGGAGGATAAGAAAAGAAGGGGTGGGGTGGGGTGGGGTGAATTGCTGGTGCAGCAATTCACCCAGCTCAGCTGGCAGTACCATGTGTTTTGGTGCGAGTGCAGGAGCTGCAGGTGTGCCAGGCTGAGCCCTGGTAGTGGAAGCAACTGGGCAGGCTGTACTTCTCACCCCTGTGCGCAGCGCTGGCCAGAGGCACCCCTGGTGCTGCTGGCAGTGGGGCTGCACGCCCCCCCACTCTAGCCCCCAACCCCTACCAACATATACACACACCTGAACATACGCCATGCCCCCTGCACAAGCCTGTCATGCACCCCGCCATATCCCCCACACACAATATAAGAGCGAGACTTTATTTTTGAGTTATTATCCAATTCCCTTCTATACATCCCATGACACCTGTGTTTTGTAATAAAATTAAAATAAGTTCTAGCAGGCATTTGACTGTCAGCGTATGACTTGGTTTTTTTCTGGTTCTAAAATGGCAACCCCTCCCTCCCAAAAGGAGTATTTCTGGGGGTGAGGGGAGGGACTTGTGGCAAAGGTCAGGGGTTAGGGGGCAGGACTAACCCAATATGGCAACCAGGGGACAGGCATACCCATGTGGCCCTCCACAGCTCACTGTAACTTGTTAAGCGGCCCGACACCCGAAATAATTGCCCGCCCTTGTGTTAGAAGCTGTAGATACTTGTGGACCGACTCTTCTAGAGCTTCTGGAAATCAATGAACGTACTTCCCTGTGCTCTTTTACTGCAACCTTGGGACTCCAAGGAAAGCCCCAAGATGATCATGTTCGCAGTGGACAATATGCTGCTCTCTCATCATACAATTGTTTAGACATAATATGTTAGCCTAATTTAGACATCTGGAGTTAGGTGATCTCAGTGTGTGCAAGACTGAACATTACATCCTTCATATTAAAAATAGCCTTTTCTGCCCCAGCAAACTTCAACGTTAGCAACAAAGGATGGGTAACACTATCCCTTTAGTGATTATTAATAACTTCCAGAGCATATGGAGATGACTAATACAATCCTATCTCTAAATTATTCTGGGATTGTGAGGTACCACAATACATTAGGAGTTATTTTCATCTGAATGCCTGCGCAATTGCTGTTGAACATCGATATACATTGTTATGCGAGTCAAAATTTTTGGGGACTTGTAGCGTCTGGACCCAGATGAGCGAGTTAAGAATGGCAGTCGGTATTGATTTGGAATAGCTTTGCTTTTGGGGGGTTGAGACTTGTCACAACTTCCCAGTACCCTTATACTAATTTTTTTGTAACTTCATTTCAAATATGTCTTTACAACATGGGAGATGGAAAAACATGTAGATCTAATTTGCTCAACTATGTGTTTCTTGTTTTTTAACAAAAATAAAATTAGGAACAAGCTAAGACATCAGGAGTAAAAAACTTAAATTGGTAGTAAGCAGGCTCTTATATAGTTGTGGGAAGAATGTTTTGCTCATTTTTAGTGGTAGAAATTGGCACATTATAAGTTGTGCTGACCCCTTGAAATATTTAGAGGGGTTTTTTTTCTTTTTTACATGCTTGAACAGCAGCTTATGGCACTTTGATCTGTTTGTTGTGTGCTGAACGGAAACCACGCTGTGAAATAGTACCGCCTTTGTTATGCTGAACAAGGTCGACCAGCCGTGAGGTTACGTACAACTTGGTAAATCAGCCTGCTAGAACGAAAATTTAGAAAAAGCTAAAGTGTGATTTGCTATAACCGTTCTTGCCCTGTTACTTATTTTCTTGTAAATAGATACCACGTGTAAAATGAGCTGAACAAAAGTAAAACTTTGGTACATTTTATTTTTATAATTAAAGCAGAAATAAATATAGAGAAGACTGGAAACTTGTAAAAGTTGCGGGGGGGAGGGGTTTAAGGGTGGAAGCTCAGACCTTGGTATTATGTAAGCTAAGCCCTAAAGCCTGGCTGGGAAAGAGAGGGGGTGCTGGCAAAGTAACCCCGTGGGGAAAGCGCCGGAGCTCCATGCCCTGCCGCTGGTGGACTCTGTTTTCAGAGTCGTTCTGTGACCGGGCCCATTTGTAGAACAGCAATAGGAGCATGTACTGGGATCCTTGTCGGAGGAGCTTCTACTGAGCAGCAAGAGATGCAGGTAGTACAGAGTTGTGGCTCTTCCAGCCAGTGGGCTGCGGCTCTGCTTCTTGGCTCCCGTGTGACAGAGGGCATTTACATCTCTCCAATTCTTGCACATCAGATCTACAAAAAGGGACCTACTCGCATTCCTCGGAAAACTTACCTTGGGATTTGTGGTCGATGACAAGAGTTGACATTTTTCTTGGGGGCTTTACAAGGACGTGTTTGTAGCTCAACTGGAGCTTGTGTCTGGAGTTAGGTAGTCTCAGTGTGTGCAGGCTCAGTATTAATGTGAAAGGATTAGAATGAATCTGATGCTTTTACTAGATGCAGCAGTTGCATCTCTTTTCATCTATTCATAAGCCCCGTAGAACATAGTTTGTAATGAAGTGCTGTAGGAAATGCCAGGGATTCTAGTTTCTGTGTGTGTGTGTTTGCTATTTAGCTTCTCACCAATATCAGAACAAATCCTGAGAGTTTTTGTTTGATTTAAATCAAAGCTTTAGGCCTGTATAACAGCTGCAACAACCCTCTCTGTTCATAAAAGTGAGTGGGCCGGAAAGTGAGGGGGCCAGAGGATGCTCACCGTACGCGATTACGCCCTTTGTTACGTAAAAGGATTTGGTGACGCAGGCTACCTTCTTAAGCTACTATAATCTGAAACTAAGTCAGAAACACCTGATTTCCTGCCCATTTAAAGAACTGAGTAGCAGATGAATTGCCAGTGTGTATAAAAACAATTCAGCTTTCACGACTGCACTGTAAGAGCTGCATGACTTTCATTCGCAGGTAAGCTGCGTTTTGTACACCGGGTCTATAAATGCTCAAAATGTGAACATGCCAGTTGATGATGTGACCTGGAAGAAAGTACACTTTAGTTATGCAGTTTTAGGATAGGTACTAAAGATTTCGTATCGTCTAACACTGTTTTCAAGAAAAAAGTTGATTTTTTTTTTTTTTTTAAACGAGAAGCATGGTTTTCATCTTGAACTAAAGAAGGACACTAAATCTTGCACAACTTAGAAATATGATGTGCGACCCTGAGTTCTGATTCTAAAAATCTTTGTTCAAATAGATTTGAATCTGACTTAAACCTACAGCTGAGTCAAGGAGCTTTGCTTCTTGCTATTTTATGTGATTAGAAAAGTATCGTAGATCAAAAGAAGAGGCTGGGTTACTGTTAAGATTTTCAAGACCCCTCTGGGTCCGATCCCAGTGCAGTTTAGATTTTGCATGACAGTAAGACATTTTATTGACAAATTCTGCTTATTTCTTATATTTGTACCTGCTACACATTAATTCATTTGTTAACCTGTAGCCTTCCCTAGCGCACAACTGTCTAGGCGTGAATGTGGAGCAGCCACAGAATGACTGAGCTCAAAATCCTTGTGGAAAGTAGTTTGCTATAAACCAGTACCAACTGGAAGCCCTTTCGTTTTTAAGCGATTCCCCTTCTTTATGATCTCATGAGGTCCCTAAACTAATTTTCAAAATTAGAAGTTTCAGTTATAGTTTCACATATTTGTCTGGCATGATTCTTCAGAGGTTAGTTTGGAAAACATTTGTACTGCGACTGTACTGTGTCTGCATGTCTTCTCTGTCGCATCTCTCCTGCTTACTACTTACACTGTGTGTGCACAGATTTGTGCGCCAGTATCGTTGTTTTGAACAGGAGTGACTTTAAAAAAAAATCAAACAATATAACTGTACTAGAATTGTGTCTATTGTATGATACTATTATAGCTTATTCCCATTCCCATGTTGGTGTAGCTGTATGCAGGGCTGTCCCTGGTGGGGGTGAATCGGGGCGACTGCCCCCGGGCCCTGCACTTTGCGGGGCCCCATGGTCAGTGCCCCACTGCCGCTGAGTGCTGCCGTCTCTGGCCGCTCACCACCCCAGGCCCCGCACACCCCTAGGGATGGCTCTGGCTGTATGCAGGCCCTTACATAGAATAGATGCCATTATAACGCTAAGGATGGCTGTGCTATACTGCTAGAATTAAGTCAGGATATAGATAAGTACAGGTATTTTGGAAAGTTCAGCGTAGCAAATATTTTGGAACTATCAAAATGCAATTTTTGTTTTCTGTTCAGTGCGACTTGCATTGTCACACTTCCCTATTTCCCTTTATTCATAAAAAATAACAGGTATTTTGGGGAGGAGGGGTGTGGGGCTGAAGGTAACACAATATTATTTTCTCCATATATGTACCCGACTGCCACTGGCAATAATGAAAGCAGTCCTATATTGAGAGACATCTCTTATTACATAATTAAGGGCATCCTGCTCTTTCTGCAGGGCACAGTGTCTTTCAGGTAACATTTAACACGTGTGCGTGAGCGTGTGTGGGCTCTTCCATACACAAAGTGCAGAGAGCTGGAAATTAAACAGCATCTACAAATTGTTTTTTAAATACATAATCTGTTTTTTCCTATTATTTATGCAGGTGCTATCTTAATGCTGATGCATCTTTTATGTATGGAAGCAGATGGTCTACCTTGGTGTAGGATTCCAACACGTTGCCTATGAAATATGTTAGTGAAAGTACATGTGCAGCTCTGCAAAGCTGGTTATTGTCCATCTGGCTTACATTGCCACACAGGGCACGCCTAATCCCCATATTAGTAATCCAGCACAGCTCTGCTTGTAATCTTGCCATAAACAGTTTGGCTACCACGAGGGAGTGTGCATGAGGCTGTGTTTAGCGGCTTCTCTAATGAATGGGCGTCTGGCTTTGAGAGGGGCTTATGTACTGCCTCCTTTTTTTAGATCCACGTTCTTCCCACTATCCTAATCCGCTGCTGTATAAATCTTGTTTCCTTTTTGAGATGGTTATCCTCATTAGCAAATTAACCCTCTCTCAGGTGTGGGGTTTGGTTGTTTTTTGAGGGGGTTAACAAAGGGGAAAATGCATCCGAGGAAACGTGATTCCACCTCTTTCCCCGGCCACATTTGCAAAGATTATTAGAAGCTGCTGATTTTGAATAAGCACAGGCATTGAATAAGCACTGATTTTGAATAATTTGCTGGTATTTTGAATAAGCACAGGCTTTCGATTCCAAGATTCCTTGGACGATTTGCCATCACAACTTGCTGATCAGTGTTACACAAACTGATTTGCACAGTGTCATCGCTGAGTCCCTATGGAAGTGTGTTCAGTTCTTTTGCCCTGGCTCAGCAGAAGCCAGAACCCAGGGGATTTTTTTTGTTCACTAAATTGAGTCATTAATACTAACTGTGGAAGAGATGTTATCCTGATGGGAAGGATTTATAAGAGTAAATCTGGGAGCATGGGCTCTGTATTAACATAACGTTTGAGTCAGAACTGGTGTTTTTTTGGAATATGGAATCGCAACAGAGTGCGTGTGTGTGTCCGCGCCTGCAACTGCAGCGTTTTTCTTCTTCCAGTAATCTCTGGCTTGTTAAGTTGCTCCAGTGCCTCCCATGTGCCTCATTAAATACACTGCCGCATAGGATGAAGCCCAAGAGATTGCTCCTGAGTCCTGGACTTATGAAGGTGGCTTCTGGGTCCTATTGATCAGGCTAGACATATGCTTAGCTGTGCTTCCCCTATGCTCTTGGGTGGCTGCCAGTTTACCAACTGAAATGGTCTACCCATCTGCCACCCCAAGGTCATCCATACATCTCTACAGGGTAAGGAAATTGGGAAGCGTCTGCCTTTGATGCCATTTCAGCCTTTATCTCTGCTGATCAATCTCTTTTCCCAACTCTGTTCTGTAGTTAGAAAGCTTGGAACAAAGTGGGCAGGTACAGGGAGGGAGCAGGCAGGTGAGAACAGGGGAAATAATGAATCCCAGGACAGAATGAGGACTGGGATGTAATGATCCTGCATGGGGAAGTTGAACTTGAACAAAGGGGAAGACTGGAGGTGGAGAACAGCCGAGGATGAAGACGTGTGTTCTCCTCCTCCAAAGAAAGCTGTAGTCTGAGCTCTCCTTGGGGACTTGAATGCCACATTGGTACTTTCTGCCACCTCTTCAAGCTAACCTCACTTACAATAGGTACTAAAACAATAGGACACTTGATCAGTGGAAGATGGGGTTGGTGGCTATCAAGGGTCAAGGTCACTGGAAAGCTACTTTAGCTAAGGAGCAGCTAGCTAAAGGCCAAGAGATCAGATTGACTTCTGTGACGTTATCTGCGGGAATAGGGTAAAGGAGTGTTTGGTACTGCTCTTGATGGTGGGGATATAGGGTGGAAAAATAGATCACGTAACTCAAGGAACATTTGAGGTGTGTGTAGATGTGGACTGCAAGGGGAACCTTATCATGCCAGACCTAGGCTGGTCCATGGGGGAAAGGCACCATCCTCAATGATCCATGGAAGGACTTCTCTTGGCAGTTTCTCTGCTGGCCTAAGCGTGGTACGAGTGGAGAGCACTCCTGCGTGGGACCGTGTGTAACCTGTCTGGAGAGGAGCAGTAACCGTGTGTGGGTCCCGGGACAGCCCAGCTAAGTGCATAACAGAATTACTGAGCAGCGAGACAAAAATCTGAATGCTGTCATGGGAGCAATCTCTGGTTTCAGTGTCAGTGGGACTTGCCCAAATAGAGTCCCTGTCGCGTGCTGTATATAAGTGCCTTTGGCAGTGATAAAGCATGGCTTATTTAAATCTTAAATATTTCTAGTTTGCAAGTCTTACTGACTGTATTTAGCATTATAGAGTTGGCTCTAATGGGCACTGCTATTCTCCTTTGCTAGGTTGGGCTGCATTGAAGTGCTTTCCACGGACATCTAATCGGTAAGTTTAAAAGCTTGTTACTGTTATTTGTGTTCATTTCAGCGTATCCTTTTCTCCCCTGCTTTCATGTGTCTGTTAAGATTAGACACGTGAAGTATCATTACCCCACTGTTTCACATTCAATTTGCTCTGCCTTTTTTTTTTTCTTCACATAACTGGTGTCAGCTAGATTGCAAAGTGTCGCAGGACCATGATGGGTTATCTGGATGACGTGCCTTTCAGAACGTATGGGAGCTTTGAGGATGGCTCTGCAAAGGGGACCAGTTTAATCAGCCCCCCTGACATTGAGGTTCCTGACTGCACAGAGATGCTAATGAGCACCATGGTAAGTGTGCCCGTCCTCCGAGCCAGGGTTGGTGTCAGCCCACCATACTACTCTGTGGGCAGTGTGGGCTGGTTGGTGTTGGTGTCTTGCTCTGGTCTTTGAGCAAAAGATCAGTTGAAGGTGACTACTGATACCATCCATACCACTCCCTTGTGTGCCATCAGATACAAAAAATGGTGGGCTTCCATCACGTTAACACAAAAGCTGCTAAGCTCAGGATGACTTTTGATCAGTTAAGTTACAATTGATGCTAAGAATAACTTTTTCTGTCCCTCTTTCTTGCTAATAGAAATGAAGAAAGAGAAAAAAACCCTTGAAATATTTCTTTTCTGAACCTGACACCCATTTTTCCCTCCAGTCTCATCCAACACCAGACTGGATGGGCAATAGAAATGAGACTTCCCCTTACTGGTGAGCAAGCTGGTAGGGTGCAGCTCAAATTCTTCACCTGGGCATCTTGTCTGCAGAAGAGCACTGTACAGCTACCTAGGTAGTATGCACATACTGCCATGGGTTCTGTCTTCACAGGCTGGCCCTGTTAATATTGCAGCTGAAAACTTTGGTTTCTGGTATGGATTTCCCTATTGTCTCTCTGTAGTCTGGGTTTATATCCATGTCCTCAGATGTTTGCATTATTTTGGGGTGCACAGGTACAGATCTGCAAGGCTACAATTAACGGAACAAGGAGCAATGGTCTCAAGTTGCAGCAAGGGATGTTTATTAGGAAAAACTTTCCCATTAGCAGGGTGGTGAAGCGCTGGAATGGGTGACCCAGAGACGTGGTGCAATCTCCTTCCTTGGAGGTTTTCAAGGCCTGGCTCCACAAAGCCTTGGCTGGGATGATCCAGTTGGGGATGATCCTGCCTTGAGCAGGGGGTTGGACTAGATGTGACCTCCTGAGGTCCCTTCCAGCCCTCATTTTCTTGGATTCTATGAATTATTGCCCATGAGGTTTTAACCACAGGATGGGCAGGACTTTTAAGTCAAGTTCAGATGTGTTGCGGGGTCTATGTTTGAAATGCGTTCTTACCAATAGGTGGATTCATTGCACTACACAGGGGAGAAGCCTGCTACTGGTTTTACAGCTGTTTGCGGTGGATGTTGAGGCGCCTGTAACGTTTTTAAAAAACCCACATCCCACCTCTTCACTACTTCAGCCCTGCCCTACCCCAATGGCTAAGCAACTCACATGCACCAAAACCATGGCTGTGGCATTGTAATGCTTATGTATTATTACAGCTGACGTCATGATATTTTTCGAAATATTCCTGGAGGAGACTGCGGCACGCACTCTTATGTAATACATGTGTAATGCCGGGTAATTGCTTGCAGACAGCAAGGTGAGCACCCTCCTGGGCTGCGAACTGCTGTTTGCACAGAGGCCTGCCATCGCCTCCTTGGAGCATGTCGGCTTTTGTTTATCCTGGGAAAAATAATGTTCTCGGGAGATGGCAAAAGCTGCAAGACCGGACTCAGGATCAGCACTGACACCCCTCGGTGTGCTGGGGTTTTGATCAGAGGACCTGGATCCCATCCCACTCATAACTAACAAATGCTTTACCCTGTTCTCCAAAAGAAATAGAAACAGAATTTGTAACCTAGACGATGGGCTGTGTTTATCCAACCGCCGATAAGAGCTCTAGTTTGGCAAACTTCTGGGCACGTTGGAAGGCCTAGTCTCTCAATCAGGTCTTCAGACTTAATTCACAAGCATATTTATGTTCTAAAACAAAGTGTATGGAAATGGTCCTTCCACTTCCCTACCAAGATCCTCTGCCAACTATTCTGTTTCTCCCTTTCAACAATATAATTGATCATATAAAAATACTTGGGGTAGGGCAGCAAGGTCTGGTGACCTCAACTCTGTAAGATAGTGGGGTTTTTTAAGATTCACAGAAAGATTTAAAAAACAAAAAAAGTTCTGGAGAGGATTCATGCGATTTGCCTGCAGTTATTTCTAAGTGGCTGATACAGTTTCAGGGTTACAGCTACTGGGGCAAATCCCTGGCGGGTGCCAAGAACATGCTTCCATTTGTGGCTCCAGTGGAGTGATGCTGGAGCTGCTGGGCGCGGTGTCTGAGCCTGAAACCCTTGCTCATGCCGTTAGTCTCCTTGTGAGCAATCAAAGTGCAGGTTGGAACCCATAAAATGTTTTTAAGCAGCGCTGCCTGAGCAGATACTGACTTGCTTTGCTTATTGCTGTTTGGCAGCACGATTTCTCGTTGGAAAGGAAGGTGCTGTATTGGATTGAGGCTGCGTCTAGGCAAGCAACTCTCCAGTATCAAGTGACCACAGAAGCTGTCCCAACAGCTCCACCTTGCTGGCTGCTTTTGGTTGACTCCAAAGAGAACGTGGGCCTCCGGGTAAAGAAGAACAAGGCGGCTGATGGAAAAGCCAGGGATGGCGCGACATTTGGAAACCACGTTCGGCGATGCATGAGCCTCAGCGCTGCGGATGTGAGCTACGTCCGCCCCAGGGGCAGAGGTGTGCCCTCCGAGACAGAAAGCGAGGAGTGGTACTCGGAAGAGGATGAGTTCTCTGTGGATGATGAGTACTCCTCATCGACCTGCGAGGAAAGTAGCAAGGAGGAAGTAATCATCCCGAAGACCAAAACCATTGTAAAGGCTGTGCCTTGTTTCCCTCGGCTGGATCAGCGCAGGCCAAAGACTTCTCCAGGGCTGTTAGAGCCACCCTCTGAAAGACACTGCAGTGAATCAAATAGCCCCGATCTGAACAAGCAGAGGAGGTCCCTGGTTTTGTTTAATAACGTGAAGAATGAGTTGGAAGGAGCCAGAAAGAAGCTCGCTGCTCTAGTGCACCCTCTGTACAGAGCCTCCATAGAAAAGAAACTCTCGCCAAGACCGTTCTTGCTGCGACGGTGCTCTCGAAGATACGCCCCTGCCTCTGATGGGTCTTTGAAAGGAGCTCTCATCCCGACACCCCCATCCACCCCTTCTGACTACTCAACGCCCCCAGCCACTCCTTGCCCCTACCTAACACCTCCAGCCACACCGTGTGATTACCCAACGCCCCCAGCCACTCCTTGCCCCTACCCAACACCCCCGGACACCCCTTGCAATTACCCACCACCTCTGCTCACCCCTTTCCGCTACCCAACACCCCCGGACACCCCTTGCAACTACTCAGCACCTTCAGTTACCCCTCGCAACTTCCTGACCCCTCCAGCCACCCCTTGCTGCAGTCGCCGGAAGCTGCCCACCACTAGGTTGATGCCTCCGATAAAAAAACACAAGCCCGTAGTTGCGGTAAGATGTATTTTTTTTGCTACCACGTTCATTTGTGGGTGCTATCTGTAGTGGTCCCTTAGCTCCGTGTGAACATGATGGGGGGAGAGAAGGGGGCAATAGATTACCTATAAACAGGTTTCTCAACACTGGAAGCTACCAAGAAAACAACTGGTCTTTGGTATGCATTGGGACTGAAAAGGCTGAAATAATTTGTGAGGTATTCCTTGGGTCATTTTTCTGGGGAACTGGTTGAAAGAGTTTTGCTGACATTTTTTGTGATGAAAAAATGCCTTTTAGATTAAATGAACTTTTGCAAGCCAATTGCCACTTTCATCCAAAAAACACCCCCCTTCAAATATTTTTGGATTTCCCAGACTGCCGACTGAAACACCTCTCTGTTTTCAACAACTAATTAAATGTATTTATTTTAGCTTTCAATGAATTCCTGAAACATTTAGCAATAACTTCTCTTTTCTTTGCAAAGATTTTCAGGAAATGAAGTACGCTGCCTGACCAGCCCTGGCTTTCTTGCAGCATAAAGCCACCAGGCCCTTCTGGCTGTTGCAGTGGGAGGCTTTGCACTGAATGAGCAGGAAGACTGGGCTGCTTTCTCCTGCTAAATTTGCCTTCTATCCTTTCTGTTTAGGGTGGAAGGGGGACTACTGTGAAGATCACTGCCTGCTTTGATCTTATTTTCACATAAACAGAGAGGCTTTGGCTTTCCCAGTTCGGTACCTGCACTAAATTTGTAGTTTAGATGGGACAGAGATCACTTTGGACTAACTCCACCATCTGTTTGTAAATTTGAATAATTTAACCATACAGTAAAGGCCACGGCACGACAAAGTAATCATTGCCCTTTGTCCTCTTAAATTGAAATTGCGTGATAGAGTACAATCCTAGCTACTGGAGAGATGAGCGAGTTTGTGCTGAACGTCTACAGTCCTGGTGCCCCAAATGCATGGAAGACCATGTTCTCACATGATGGCTTGAAGTTTTGAGAGATGGGAATTACAGAGCAATTACATGCCTGTAGTTGTACATACGATGGCTGTTAAATCTAATTGCTAATCTGTCGTCCTGAGCCATTCGACTCTCACTCCAGAAGTCTCACAACTATTCCCACAGGCCCTAGACAGGATGCACATGCCTGAGTAGGAGATTTGTTTCCTAGGACTGAAGATGGCTTCTTTTCCCTCTCCTGCTTATACAACACACTTACATAGGAGATCAAGTGTTCAGACAGTTGATTTTTCCGAGACAGGGCTGCCTTACTGCCCACACCAGCTGGCACTGCCATCCTCTCTTGCTTGGCCAGTCTAGGACAAGTAAAGAGCTTATAGATAGGAACGGGATTCCCTGGACGGTAGAAGCTGGCTCTTACCCATTTAACGCATAATCACGCTTGCCTGCTATCTCCTTTGATCGGTATCTGCAGCCAGGCCTGGGTTTAATTAAATCTAGTTTCCTTTTCCGTTGTTCCTTGTGGACAAATTGTTGTACGTATCTCGGCGTGATGGTCATAGCTTTGCCGGTTGCTTTGTTTGCTTTTTATTTGGAAGTGCGCTGCTCGGTTTCCCCAAGTTTCCGACCTCCAGGCATAGTCACCTCTGCTCTGTTTAGAGTTTCCCTGGAAACATAACAAGTTCTGATCCCTGAAAGGATGCTTAAAAAAACCCCACAAAAATAAATAAATACATAAACCGTAGGATTCATTTGAACAGGATGCGTAACCGGAAGATTCACATGCATGACAGCTAACACATAATCCTGTATTTATCCAAGCACACGCAGTTGCACACGGACAGCAAACCGGGATAGTCCATTTATGGACATTTCCCTCCGATTGCACAGTTGAATGAGATTGCCCTAAATGACAAATGCCAGAGCAGTGCTTTTCAGTATCTGCAATTACCTTGTTGTTTTGCAGGAGGAGGAAGAGAATTCTTTTTATAGTGTCGCATCGTACCAGTGCCTCGTAAGTGGATACGTCCTAATTAGTGAACATAAAGTCCTCTTGTTTATTTTTCAGTCCCTCAGCCCCTATTCCTGCCTTCCAGCCCCTTCTGGGGCTGCGCGACCTCTGAGTTCCCACAGAACTCGTCCGGACTCCACGGCTGACCTGCTCTCGGCGCTGAGCCAGCAAGAGCGTGACCTCATCGAGCCAGTTTTAGCCTTGGGTTATCCGATCCGCAGAGCTATCCTTGCTCTCCAGAAGACGGGAAGACAGAGTTTAGGTCAGGTTAGTGAAGCTAATATTACTTTCCTTCAGTGGTCTGGAAAACACCTGGTAAGGATGACTCTCCTTCCCGCGGGTTCTGGGCTACCTGGGTGCAGCTCTAAGAAAAAGGCTCAGTAGTTCTGTTTTGGGAAGAGTTGATCGTTTCTCTTCATTTTGAGTAAGAATTAAAGCGATTGAGGGTTGTGCCTTGTGCCTGAAATCCTCAATGAGAATGACCTTCAGCAAGCAATGCTGCCTGAAGACATCGCCTTTTAAGATCTGCTTTCCTATTTAATAGGAAGCCCGATGCTCTTTTACAGCCTAGACATATTTGCCTAGTACAGAAATATTTTAGCGGATTTATTTTTCCCCAGTTGTGAGGTCAGTAGCATTATCTCAGTGACTCGTCTACTCAACATTGGACTGTGTCGATCTCTGCGATGTTTTGGGTCCCTCTCCAACACCAAAGCATGAGGCTGGCTTGAATATGTACAGATAATGCCTTGACGTTGCAGAATATTCCCGCCTGTCATCAATGCATACACAGCACTTATAGTTCTCCTTTTCTGCGTGTGAACCAGAGCCTGTTTTAGGGACTTGAATGACCCTCGCCATTGCAATGGTGCCTGTGCACCTCTTACTCCACTGTATTTCACCTCTCACCACTTCTGAGAGGTGGGGGAGTGCTACTAGCCCCTGATACAGATTGGGATCGGAGGCACAGGCTGACTTACCCAAGGCTGCTCAAGAGTTCTGGGACAAGGCAGAGATTTGAAACCCAAGTCTCCCAGAGTCACAGGCTCCCACTCTCTCTGCTGGGCCATCCTTTCCAAACCAGCTCTAGCTCTAATGCAAGGCTTCCTGTAATCCAGTTTAGCGAGCATTATTTATTCCATCCACGAAGGGTTCAAACTTGACAGGCAGAAAGAAAGGGACAAAGTGTAACCCCCTGTTCCATGTATATTCAATACCATTTTGATATCAGGAGTGTGGTCCAGGGCTGCCACCAGCTGTAATAGGACGGTGCACCCTACAGACACCTCTTGCCCTAGCAGGTGGTGCACAATCGCTCTTTTACCGCCCCGGAGAGTGGTGGTTATATCAGTGCCCGGCCCTTTTTTTGAATTCTTCTGAGTCCTTAGCCTCAATTGTGTTATTCCCTCCTGGCAATGGGTTCCACAGGCTGATTATCCACTGTGTGAGACAGTTCCTATTGCTTTTTCGATGTTCTTCCTTGCCACGTAACGGAGAATCTGTGTTGTTCTTCAGCGTAGAATACTCACGGGATGCTCTTACCAGTGGCTTTCCCAGCCCTTGGCCTGGTGTTTGCTCCAAAAAGGGGCAGCAGCTTCCTCCATTCTTTAATTCTGAATTCATCCTTTCACCCATTTTGGCCATCAGATGCCCTACCTATGCTTTGCTTCTAACCACAATGATGAGATTTATAGACTGCTCTCCAAACTGGCTGTGAGACACTTGGAATTAAACCAGTGTACAGTGAGATCTGCAACCAAATTCATACAACCACCAGACATCGGGATCTGGTGGAGATGGGCCTTTTTAGTGAAGGTCAATCAAAGCAGTATAGGGAACCGGAGGGGTACCTTAAGATGACATTGGCCATGGGCTTGTTAATCATGGGCAAACTTGTTCCAGGAGTCACTGCATCTGCTTGTCTTTTCTGTGATTGCTTGTTTGTCTAGCATGGTGATTAAAATAATGAATGAGGGTGTAGACACGTGCCTGAGTGACAGGTTCATGGAAAAGGATCCTTAAGTTTGATTTATTTTTGGTGGGCTGTTCCATTCGTTATAATGCTAAAATGATAATCACTTAAAGCTTCCCTTGGTAGAAGATGCAGGCACTTGGGCCGATTTATGTTAAGGGTGGTTAAGAGCATTCCTGATGCAAGGTGTAACCACTGCTCTGGGAAGACAGAAACATTATAGCTCGGTGCATATTTAGGTTTTCCTTGTTTTCCTGCCTAACCTTTCCTGGGTGCGTTCATATACTTGAAAACCAAGATGGACAACTTGTTGGCCCTAAGCACGTATGTTCCCCGGGGATAGGAAAGGTATGCTCTTTCTTCATATTCCCATGCTGAAGATGAGACAGAGCTCTAAAGGTTAACGGTTCACCACGTAAACACCTGTCCTCGTTCAGTCGTGAGGTTCCTTTTGGAGATGATAAACTCATCCAGTCGACAGCAATTGTGTATCGGTTCCAAATTCTGCTTGCCCAGCGTGAGAGTCTCTGAACGGCTCGCTTTCCCTGGTGCACGTCGTAAACATATGCCCCTGTTAATAGCCCGAGAAATACAGCAACCGCTCTGGCTTTTGATGGCGTAAAGCAGAGTTACAGCAACACAGCCGGGCACCCGGGGCAGCTGCCGTGCACAGGAGCAGCGGTGACTTCCAGCTACCGCTGCACCGCTGCCGTGATCGCGTGGCTGCATAGTTGTGCGTTTCCCCCACTCCTCTCCCCTCACATCAGTGCCCAGGACAACTGCCCTGCTTGCCCTGCCTTAATTACGCCATTGGATGAAGGTCTGGAGGAAAACAAAGGCAGCAAATTATGAGTATGGATGGCAAATCAACTGAGGTCGGATTTGTTAATAGGGAATGGATTCAGATGATGTGTTTTGATCCTTATTACTGCACTGCTGGAGACACATGAATCCTGCCAACTTCTGCTCTCAGCTTTTGAAAGATTTTTTTGGACCTTTAGCAACAAGGATCATCTTTTATTGAAACCTCCTGCTTGCTGTGGCATTGCTGGAGTCTGACGGGCCATTCATTTGTAGTATGCTTAACTGGTAAAAGTTATATTGAGGTTATAGGTCACATTCACATGACCAGCATAGCCTTAGGGAACCCTATGGAATTGCAGTCTCTGCTTCAAATGGCCCATTTGGGCCCTTTTCCCACTATTGTATAGCTCGCTTATTGTTTGTTGCCTGTCGCATGTTTTTGGACAGCAAAGGACTCTTACGGTATTTAAAAGATACCGCTGGGAATTGTGCTGTCAGCACTCCAAGAACAATGAGGAAAGCCAAAAATAACTGTTTACTTTCAATCATGACAGCACACAGGCCTCCCTTGAGGCTGTCCTCTGGGTCCAGAGCGGTGGAGCAAGCCCATAGAAGGCCGAAGTTTTGAACATCAAAGGTGACGCTGGCAGCCCTGGAGAATTCGAGGTCGGCACACACCTAACACCCCAGCGAGATGTTCTTTTGAATAGAAGCAACCGATAAAAGAGGTGTACAGATCATCTTTTCCCTGCAAGCAGGGTTCACGTTTTGGATTCCTCCAGCGGTGGCTGTCTTTGTTCCTATTTCTCACGCATGCAGAATGGGCAGGACTTAGATTTTTATCTTCTCCTGGGGGAGCGGTGGAAGCCCCGCTGTCTGAGTCATTGACAACCAGAGAGGACAAGCATGAGACGCTAAGCGGGATGGAGTAATCCTGCATTGAATCTAGTCCATCCTATGTAATCCCTAAAACTGGTGAGAAGCTACAGCTGATCTCTGATGGAGACTGCAAGACACAAAGTCCAGGTCCCTGAAGTGCGATTGTAGCGTGCAGCATTTGACAGGTTATGGGAAAACTCTGACATGCAAGCCACAAGCATTTCCAGGCTTCACTTACAATCTCTTCTCCAACTTCAAATTCAGTCCAACCTTTGCTTATAAGGCGCTTTGCTTGATGAAGAAAAACCGCAAATTAAACTATTTATTTAAAGTAAAGAAGAAAATTCTTAGTTGTGCATATTAAAATTCCTCCCTGCACCTCTCCTGATGGGCTAACAACTTGGGAGTGTGTTCATAAATAAACTTGAAATCCTTTCCTTTTTGAAGGCTGTGGGGTTTTCTCTATGTGTCGTTCAAAAGCAGGGGATCAGCCTCTCGGCCAAGAAAACTCCACTCCAGGACTCTTCGGGTCTTCAATCCTGATGCCGTGGTTTATCTCAGACTGAGGTGCTCAGTCCATGATGCACCCGTGTCTTGAGTACTGCGTGCGTATCCATCTCGTTAAGGAAGTAGCAGAACTGGAAAAGGTAGAGAGAAGGGCACCCGGAACGATCGTGGCCCTGGAGCAGTTGCCATATCAGGAGAGACTAAAAAGGCTTTTAGTTTGGAGAGGAGAGGGCTGAGGGGGAATATGATAGAGGTCTATAAAATCATGAAGGGTGTGGACAAAGCGAACGGGGAACTGTAATTCGCCAAGTCCCAGAGTACTAGAAGTAGGGGGTGCCCACTGAAATTATAAGAGACAGGTTTAAAACTAGCAGGAGCAAGTGGGTTTTTTTTTTAATACCGTGTGCAGTCGTGGAATTCAGCGCCCCGGGAGGTGGTGGAAGCAGATAGCACAGCTAGGTTCAAAAGGGACTCGACAAATTCATGGATGATAGATCTATTAATGGCTATTGAACAGAATGGTTGGAGACGTTTCCTCTGGCATCTCTAAATCTATAATGGTGGATGCCTGCGAGGGTAATGAATAGGGGAGAGATCACTCTCTTCGGGATCTACTTCTGTCGCTGTCGGAGACAGGATACAGGGCTAGACGGACCATTGCTCTGGCCCAGTGTGGCACTTCGTCTGTTCTTGCATATGCCTCGGAGTCTCTCTGATGCTCTCATCCCCTGGAGGGTTCCCAGTGGCATGTTAATCGCAAGAGCAGTCTCCAGGATGGATTCCAGACCGGGAGCCTAATCATGCCAGGTGCTGAGTGGCCCAGTACCTTACATGATCTGGCTTATAACTTATGCACATTTTAGAGGTGTATCATAAGGTCAGGCTTTTGAGGTGGTACCAGGGACACCTTTTGAGACCTGTGCTGGGCGGCTTGGGCAGGTAGTCTCTTTTACAATGTATTGCATATGCAAGCAGTGTTCATTGCACCACCCTCCTGGCTGGAAGGGGTGTTTTATATTAATCCCATTTTGCTCTCCCTTTTCCTTTTGCAGTTTCTCAGTTATCTTAGTGCCTGCGACAGGCTGCTGAAACAGGGCTATGAAGAGGGGCAGGTGGAAGAAGCCATGGAAATGTTCCAGTACTCTGAGAAGAAGGTCAGACGCAATTTGGTGCATTCAGAGCAAAGACGAACGTTGCTTAGGTTTTTTACTGGACAAATCACCCCCCACCACCACCCATCCAGGGTCACTTTCACAGTGGGCAATACACAGGGCTATTGAGGGGTACAGCTCCAACACACTAGAAGTCCAGTGCATCTGCGAAAGCCTGCTTTGCTGCTGCTCCTGCTTGCTACACTTAATAGCCCCCACACTGACAAATGCTATATTACAAATTCACAACCTCGTCGGTGGCTCATCTCCTTGTTGACTCCACCACAGGGTGCTCAGACCTCTGCACGGGTTCTCCATTCAGTGCCTGCCTTCCCCTGTGCATCAGCACCGTGGCTGTGCCTCGATGCAGTCTCATTTGGCAGGGGGTTGCAAGGCAGTGCCCCTTGAAGTAGCGTGGAGACCTGGCCAAGAGTTTCATGCCTATGCTGCTTTGGCATTAGCTCCACTGAACACATGCTGAGCTCTGCTCACTTCTTGTTAGGAAAGCTACACTGCAGTAGTTAACCTTCCAGCTTCTAACCCACAGGCATGTATTAATGATTTACCTGCAGGCAAAATGCTGTTGGAAACACTGAGGCCGGCTCTGGTAGGGGGACGGCAACAGCACTACCAGCAAATTCCAGATGACACTTAGTGTGTTTTCCTGATCTATTTTTCACGGCATTATTTCATAGCATGGACTAGTAATGCAGTAGAATTTCAGATATTGGTTATTTCCTCTCAAATATTAACATTCATCTTCCTGTTGTATGGGGCCGCTCTACAATCACATGGCACCACTCATCTGGAATGATGAAGTTACAGCCTAACATTACTGAATGATTTCTTATATGCAGTCTTGAAATGAAGAAACAATAATTCCCCACCGTTAAAAATGAGCTCGTAGCTCTGTTCAACTCACTAAGTGTGCATAAAAAATATGCTAGCCTAATTTCATCATTAAAGACCAAGGCTGAAACCAAAAGTAACATAATTCTGCTAGATGTAGTTTGATTTCAGCTTTGTTTCACAATGCTGCTATATTGCTTCAGTTGTAACCTTCCCATGACTATATCTCAGACTGATAAAAACTGCTCTTTTCTGTTACTTTATTTTTCCAGGCAGCTGAATTCCTGCATCTTTTAGCTCAGTTTGATGATATGGGTTTCCAACAAGCCGAAATCAAAGAAGTTCTTCTGCTGTGTGAGAATCAGAGAGATAAAGCACTGGAAGAGCTCATGACACGATCACAGTGACAAATGCCTGGCAACAAAGTGATATTTTTCCAGCATTAGATTGACCGCTGAAGCACCCTTGGCATCAATATCGTTATAGAGGCATGATTTTAATTTACACTAAAAAAAAAAAAATATATAGCTCATCTGAAACGAACTTTCAGAGCTGTGTCTCGTTCTCCTCTCGCATTTTTGGACATCTCGCCCAAGGGATTCAACGGCTTTATGTCAGAAACAGTTCTCTGCTTGTCCGCTCTACACACGTGCGCTGTGAACTATCTCAGTAGCTTGGATAAGACCGAATTGGGCCCAAACCTCTTCTGGCTTAATTTTGGCAAAAACCAAATCACAGCCTCTTCAGTCAATCTGAGCCCCTATGCAGTCTTTCCTGTGCTTTCTATATTGCAGTACCTGGAAATGTGGCCCAATGTGAGCTTTAAATAAATATATATATATATATGCGCAAACCAAAAGAAGTTGTTTTCATGCTGGCAGAATTTATTTTTCCTGGAGAATTAGTTACTGCTTTCTTGAGAGGAGTATAACTGGTCTGAGTCTCGTTTGACAGTTGTAACCCAATTCTGAGTTTCCACCAAATCATATTGGCTTCTCCTTTTAAAGGAGAAAGTTAAAAAGAGCATTTGATTAACTGAGTGCAAGCAAAGAAAACAGCCTTCTATTGCAGTGTTGTGGGTAACTAATGTAACATGTTTGTCCACTGAAATGAAAAATGGGTTATGCAAGTCTGAAGGCTTGCACGCACAGCCTTTCTGTGACATCTGGACAGAGGGCTAGAGGAACGATTCTGCTCTGCCGGTTTTATCTTGTGTCCAATTGAAGAAAACTTGGGACAAGGCCACCCTTCCCAAAAGTGGAGAGCAGTGGCTCAGCTAAGCGTGTTGCATGCAGACTTCGAGACTCGGAAAATGTTGAGCGAAGAGGTTTTTTTTCCCTCTCCTTGGGTAACTGGCACACAAGGTATGCATCTGATCCGGATCACCTTGCTAGATGTCACTTGGGCTTTGGCAGCTTTACAGAGGACAATGTTTTCACAAAGATGAACTCAAGCACTTTATTTTAGTTTGAATCCGATACTGATGTAATTGCTTTGAGTAAGGGATTTTATTTGGCGGGGGGAGGGGGAGGGTAAATGTATTTATTGTTTCTTGCCCTGTGAAAATGCCAACTGGCACAACTTAGCAGGGATAGTCCTTAATTAGTTGCAAACTATTTACCATTTTTCCATTATGTCCTTCCAAAAGATTTCTAAGTCCAGTGGATTTCAGCTAAGTTGAACAAGCTGTCCCTGTGCTTCTTCCCCATAGCTTTTAAACTGGTGGTGTGTATAGAACATTTGCTCAATTATTGATCATATCCTCATACAGTATCAGAGGACTTCTTGAGAGCTGGGACATAGGCAACTTGAGTTCAAATTTCAACTCGACTGCAGACTTTCTGTGTTACCTCGGACTTGCCCCTTCACCCATTTTGTAAAATGGGGGTAAGCCTACTGTATTTCCATTCTGTGTTCATCTAATTAGGCTGTAAATTCCTTGGGGGCAAAGACAGTCTCTTGATATGGTTTTGGAGGATGCCTAGAACCATTAGGTCCCCGATCTCTATCCAACAGGCCAGTGAAATAGAGGGTGCCAAACACTGAACAGCAGACAGTGAGAAGCAGGCCAAATGGCATGGATCAGAGTCAAGAGAAATGGTACTGGAGTGGGCAATGGTATGAAAAAATAAACAGCACAGATAGATGACAGCACTGGGCTGGCATCCATCAAAATCTGCCCTCCAAAGTGAAGGCATGACTAAAAAGGATTGGTCTAGGACAGGGACATGTTGCTAAGTAAGGCTGGCCATCAAACAATAAATTCTTGATTCTTCCCCTCCAACCCTTGGAAGGTGACTTCCAACAAGCATGGGACTGGGATTTTCTAGACAGGATGCTAGATGTGTGAATACATTTAGCTGGTCCCCAAGACTGTTCGGCTGGTCTGTATCCTTCCCACGTGAACAAGGACACCAGCTTTCCTCAGACCAGCTTTAGGTCCAGAGTTTGTTTGATGATGGACCAGGCTATCAATGATCTTTTTGAACAGGGATACACATGAGAGCTTCTCACTGATTAATGGCAAGTCCAGCTGGAAGGTTATGGGGGTAATTTGCAGAGTGGCTCAAAGAGCTGTAGGGATTAATAATTCAGTTTCTTGGGTGGCCTATTTTAATCCAGATGTTGCACTGATAACCAGACTATCTCCAGCTGTGATGTGAGGAACCTTCTGAGGGCGTTGATCAGCATTACCCGTGTAGGTTTCTTTCGTGGCCTTGAGGGTAGTTCAACATGGATGTCATGAAGTGGCTGTGCAAGGGTTGAGGCTGCTTGGACATGAGAAACCCATGGCCAACGAGTGAAGTTTCAAGGAAAACCCATAATTGGCATTGATTGCACTCTGTTTGGTAGATGTGTGTTCAGAAGCTTTCTAGGCAGACCATCAGTCACCTTGATGGGAGCTGATACACTCTTCAGTCATCTGGTTCACCCGTTCGGCTTGGCTGTCGTCTAAGAGGATGATAGGCAGATGAGCTGTGCAGAACGGTTCCCTGCAAAAATGAGGTGGAAATTGAGCTCTGTGCTCAAACATGGTGTTGGCAAACTAGAAAGCTTGACAATGTGAGGATTTTTGGATATGATATGAAGTGTGATATTTTTGTGAGTGGATCAGTTGCAGCGAGAATAACCATATACTTTTGACACAGCTAAAGCAACAGTGACGTTAGTGGAATTGGCTGGCTGTTTTTGGGGAGGACTGAAGGGTTTGGTGCAGCGACTCTTCATCCAAGAGCAACTTCACAAGAAACGATATGTGTTTTAGTACGTGATGGTACTTTTGGCCACCAAAAGCTCTAGGAAGTGACCTGAGTGTTTGGGAATGGCCCAGGCAACCAGCCAAGCAAGAATCACGCCACAGCGTCAGTACCAGTAGTGTAACATTGGGTGGGTGAGTGGGGCCTGGGTCCCAGGTGCTGCTTAAGTGGGGGGGAGTATCAGAAGGATGGGCTGGGGGCACCGTACCTGCCTGTCCCGTACTCCAGCTGCTGGACCTAGCTAGCTCAGGCCACATGTGTCCTGGAGTGCAAGGCATTCTGGGAATCGTAGAGTGATTTCTAGACCGACAGTTGAGTTGGCTGCTGAGGGAAGAATTGATCCCATTTTTTTGCCAGTGAAATCATCTTCCCCCCCCCCGCCCTTTTTGAGATGGGCTTCAATGATGGCAAAAAAATGAAGTGAAAGTTTCCCCATGTCTGATGCTTGCTGCTGCTCCTGTGCACTGCTTCATGCTGAAGCCCAAGGTATAGGAGGAAGGAGGGACAGAAAGGCAAGAGAGGACTGCTTTGGGCACGTTCTTCCCATGCCATGCCTCTCTTCAGCACCTCAGGTCATGGTCAGCCACCCAGGACATAGACTGGATCTTTGAAGAGCAAAAGTCTGTTCTTAATCCAAAACTTCTGGTCAGGACTTGAACTTTCATTAGAAGACGCGGTTTTGGCAGTAAAGGGTAGGCTGGATTCGATGCAAGACTTAAGTCATTGTTCAGGACAACGCTGACTAAATGACAGAATTTCAAAATTACGGTGTATTTTTTGAATGTTGTTTGCAGGATTTAGATGTTCACCTTGGCTAACAAACGTGCTTGACTCGCATTTTTTGGCGGCAGAAAGGTACGTCAGAGCGAGGTTGAATGTGGAATCGGTGTGGTTCAAGGCATTTGCGGAGCACAGATATCCAATGTTCTTATGGTCCGCAAATACCCAACTGGACACTGCGTGTCCTCATGATGAAACCATCCTTGATGGCCAGGAATTACTTGTCACTGATGTCATGTTTCTGCCCCAGTTTGTGGGACCCAAGGAAGAGAGTGACACGATGGGATTGACCCCGTCTGGTGGGGCTGGTGGGAGTCTCATGCTGCAGTGGGGATGGTAGAGTCAGCGTGGCCATGCGCAGGCCTTTGCTCAATAAGGACTTTTGTCACAAAACTCACAGTGCTGCTCCAGCTGAGCTGGTCTGAGGCTGCTGATACACCCCTCCCCTTGCACACAGATGCTGTTCAAAGAGGTTTCCTCCTTTGCAAGTGGCCAGGTGCTTGGGGCATGGGCAGCAGCAACTTCTGGTTGGTGCCACGCCACCAGTGTGGTCATGGTCACGTAGCTGTTGTCAGCAGCTGTTTTATTTTGCCCACTCCCCTTTCCTCCCACGGCAGCACCCAGGACAACTGCCCCGATTGCCTCACCCTGGTTACACCGCGTCCTTGGGGAGTTTTCTGTTGTCTGTTTACAGCTCCAGGAGTAGGTTGCACTCAAACAAAGGCTCTTTTTGGATGCCCTTGGGTGGTCACACTTCTTCCTGTGCTACAGCTCATTGTATAATCCATCCCAGCCACGTGGGCCGCTGGGCTTTCATTGATTAATGTCTCCACGGATGTGCTGTCAGCCTGCTGCAGGATTTTGGATAGTTCCCCCTAGCAAATGCCTATTGCTAATACTGAGACATCTATGTTCCCATCTCCCTTCACCTTCGTTGCATCGTGAATGAAACTACACGGCAAGCTCTGGCATGGGGCCAGACCCTGTGCCGCTGATACGTATGTCGGGGAGCCCACCGCAGCTGTAAGCCTGGTAGGAATAATTTAAGGCTCTGGTATGATTTCTCCAAATCCCAACACACGCTCTTGGAAAAACTGGTTTGCATAACAGGTTCTCGTGCGTAGCAGGGGTGCTGTGTCCTGGAGCTCACATACACGGTTTCCTCTTCGGGACTTTTTCACTTTGTTACATGAGCTTTTATTTTTGAACGCAGCCCTTATAAGGCAAGGCCATTCGACAGACAGAATTTTTCATCACGTTTCTTGGTGCCAAGATGATGTCACCTTGGGAGAAAAAAAACTTGCAAAAGGTCAACCGATGATTAAAGAAATATTTTAAAACGTTACTTTAGTCTTTGGAGAAGTAAATGCAATTAAGATTTGAAAGAACAGATAAGTTGCGTGTTCCGCACCGATGACTGTAAAACATCGAGTGCTGAACTTATGGTGAAGGAAATCAAATCTGCAAGTAGTGTTATGCCTGTTCATTGTACGATGGATGAATTTGGCTCCTGGGCCATTTATTTAGAGGCTTCTTGGCCTTCTGGAGTAGATTTTTTTTTTCTCCCATCTCTCCAGGTAAAAATAATGTCTCTCTCTACCTTCATGCAACTAGGAGGTCGATGTAAGGGTGGCATATAGAGTTGATGGGAAATGACCTTTGTGTTACTTTAGCTTTGTAGAGAGATGGGTTTATGCATGTCCCTCTGAACTTTGCTACATCCTTGTACTGTTTGGTGAATGGTAACGTGCATTTCTTTGCTCAAGTGCTACATGTACAGAGGCAGAACGTTGTCTTGTATTAGTATTCATTTCAGTAAACCAATAAATTGTGGAAGAAAGCAAATGAAAGGAAGAAAAGATGTAGGAAACAGGGGGTAAAGTTTGCATTGCTTGGTCTTTTTGAAGCTATACTTATAAGGCATGGAAAAAAGCCTGCTGTGTTAAATATCATGGTTCGGTTACATAAGCCTGTAATAGTTATTTTAACTACTCTATAATGGGTTTGCACTGATTACTCAGCTGAAGGTGGCTTTCAGACACAATGCCCTGTGTGCTGCTCTTTAGGAGACGATGTTAAGTGTTAACTGTCTTAATCGGGGAACTTTGCTTTTGCTGGGTTTGTGCAGGCCAGTCTGCAAATAACAGTGGCAGGTTTCCAGTTGTAACAGTTAAGTATTTTACTGGCATTTTCAGCGCAAACAAATTTACAGCCTGTTCCTTGCTTGTTACTTTTTTGTCAAATAATGGGGGAGAGGATCAAAAAGGCTGATAGGAGACATAACTGTAGAAACGCTGCTTTCGCGTTGCATTGTAGGAGAACCGGGGCTTCTGCAAAAAAACCGAGTCGGTTCTTCTTATTTCAAAATAAAGAGATTTTGATAT